GTAAATATGAGAATAAAATAGGTTATTTACCAAAATGATAATCTTGGGAATAATTAGTGTACTGCTAAAATAGACAATAAATTGATTTTAAAATCTTAAAAATTAGGAAAAAATACCAAAACTCTTGGGCATGCTTATATATGTATGTACATTCTATTTTGAAAGTATTTTGTATATAAAAATACATAGGGAAAAATTGGGTATCAACAACGGGCAGTCCGAGCACACTATTCAAATATTGTAGGACATGTTGCATGCTTGTGTCATTGATTTCGGAGGGTCATGGGATCAGTTTCTACCACTTGCAGAGTTTGCTTATAACAACAGCTACCAGTCGAGTATTAAGATAACTCCATATGAGATTACCATTTGGATATAAAAATGCACTAGGTAGATACCAATATTTTATGGATAACTACTTTAACCAATTAGAAAATTGTATAATATATATAGATGATATACTGTTATATTCTAGAACAGAGAACGAACATATAAAACTACTAGAAAAATTCATACACATTGTAGAAATATCAGGAATAAGTTTAAGTAAAAAGAAAGCAGAAGTAATGAAAAATCAAATAGAATTTTTAGGTATACAAATAGATAAAAACGGAATAAAAATGCAAACCCATGTAGTACAAAAAATAATTAACTTGAATGAAACACTTGATACAAAAAAGAAGTTACAATCATTTTTAGGATTGGTTAACCAAGTAAGAGAATATATTCCTAAATTAGCAGAAAACTTAAAACCATTACAGAAAAAATTAAAAAAGGACATAGAATATCATTTTGACGAAAAAGATAAAATACATNATCTATGGATAATGCTAGTTGGTTGGTTTAGATTATGATTTTGTTGATGAGTAGTTTCCTTTTGAGATTTATATAAGTTTTAATTATATTTTATTATATAGGCAAGTAATTAATATAATATACCACCAAAGGAAATAGACAAAATATATGTTGCGAAACCCCGAAATAACCGTTGCCATAGCTTCAAAAATCATTGCAATAGATATGCTGATGTAACGGTCTTACAATTGTTGCACAAAACTGTTGCAATAGACCTATCGGCACGCGACCTGATGTAACGCCCACATATCGGTTGCCATATGTCTATTGCAACGGTTTTGATACCTTTGCAATGGGTTTTGAGCCGTTGTCATAGGCCTATTTTCCAGTAGTGTAGTCTTCTCAATTCAAAAGTTTAAGCACTACGTTCAAGCTCATGTTGTCCGTCTTGTTTCTAAAGCAAATCCCATCAAGTTCGTAATGTCAAAATCTATTCTTAGTGATCGACTAGTGAGATAGTACCTCACAATTCAACAATTCGAGATTTTGTACATTCCTCAAAAGACTGTAAAAGGACAAGCATTGGCAGACTCTTGGTAGATCACCCTATACCTGATGATTGGGAGCTAACTGATGAACTACCTGATGAGGACGCAATGGTCATTGAAGTTCAGCCTCCATGGAAGATGTACTTTGATGGTATTGCACAATGCGGAGAAGCTAGTGCTGGTGTAGTATTTGTCACTTCTCAAGGTGAAATTCTGTCCCACTCTTTTACATTGATACAACTCTACTCTAATAACGTTGCTGAGTATCAAACACTAATACTTGGGCTTGAAATGGCTGTCGAAATGAAGCGATTGCAATTGCAAGTCTTTAGTGACTCTCAATTAGTGGTCAATCAGCTTCTAGGTAGTTACGAGGTCAAGAAGCCTGAACTATTCCCATCTTATGATTACACTAAAATTTAATGGGGTGGCTCGGTAATGTGACTTTTCAGCATGTGCCAAGGAAAGAAAATAAGAAGGCTAATACTTTAGCTATCCTAGCTTCATCGTTAACCCTGCCTGATCAAGCGCAAGTTTTTGTCTGCCAAAAATGGGTAGTACCGCCACCAAATGAGGCTGAAGGTCAAGAAAATGAACTCAAACATCTTGTTGCTATTTCTGAAGTTGATAAAGAGGAATCGAGACAGCCCATTATCGACTACTTATGCTATGTGATACTTCCAGAAAATTCGAGGAGAAGGACTGAATTACAACATCGTGCACCTCACTTCCTTTACTATAAAGATACTTTATACAGAAGGTCATTCAAGGGAGTACTCTTGCGATGCTTAGGGGAAGATTAAGTACTCGAAGCTTTGAAAGAGGCACATTCTGAGGTATGTGGGTCACATCAGCCTGGATCAAAGCTCCACTTTCATATAAAAAGAATGGGATATTATTGGCCAACGATGGTAAAAGATTGCTTGGACTATGCTCGAAGATTCAAGGCTTGTCAATTCCATGCAAATTTTATTCATCAACCTCCTGAAGTATTGCACCCGACTGTTGCATCCTGGCCGTTTGACGGTTGGGGATTGGATGTTGTTGGACCACTACCAAAGTCCTCTAGTGGGCACCTATACATCTTGGCTGCAACTGACTACTTCTCAAAATGGGCTGAAGTTGTGGCTCTTAAGGAAGTAAAGAAAGAAAATATTGCAAGTTTCATCCGAGTAAACATAATCTATTGTTTTGCCATTCCCCGTTATATAATAACAAATAATGGCAAGCCATTTGACAATAGGTTTATGAACAAGATTTGTGAACTCTTTGGCTTCAAGCAACGTAGCTCTTCTATAGACAATGCTGCGGCCAATGGTCTAGCCAAGCCATTCAACAAGACTCTATACAACTTCTCAAAGAAAGTCATCTCCAAAGATAAACGAGATTGGCATGACCGTATGGAAGAAACTCCGTGGACATATAGTAAAACTCACCGCACGCCAACACAAGTGACCCCTTATTCACTCGTTTATGGAGACGAAGTCGTCCGGCTACTCGAGCGTCAAATACATTCATTACGATTAGTTATTCAATAAGGGATCACTGATGAAGAAAATGCTCGACTTCAATTAGCAGAGTTGGAGGCTCTTGATGAGAAGAGATTGGAAGCTCAACAGAGTCTTGAATGTTATCAAGATCGATTGTCTCGTGCCATCAATAAAAGAGTTTGCCAAGATCCTTTCAAGTATCAGATCAAGTCCTTGCTGTACGAAGACCCATAATTATCTCCCATAAACCCGTAGGGAAGTTCACTTCAAAATGTGATGGGCCATATGTAGTACAAGAAGATTACTGAAGTGGGTCTTATAAGCTCGTAGATGCAGATGGCATAAGAATCAGCCCTATCAATTGCAAATTCTTATAGAAGTATTATCCTTGAAGTTGCAACACTCCTTGACGCATGATCCTAAACTACTTGTTCCTACACTCCTAGACCACATGAGTCTAAACAGTGTACGACCCACAAAAAAATCACCCATTTTGAACTACGGTACGTAGACAGCTTAGAGTTTCATTGTGGGTTTAGTCGCATGATTTCAAAAGATACATAGTACCCCAATTGTTGTCCGAGTGAAGAATGAAAGAAATGTATAATCAAGCTGAAACTTCATCCTCCTGTTGAACTTTGGATCTTATTTGATTTAATGGGGGCAAGTTGCTATGGTAAAATGGTGTCTTCATTGAAATCATGACAATATTTGCATCAAAGTTTGGGATTTGCTATGTCTTCATGTTCGCATAACCTTCAAGTTTTTTGGTCTTCATATACTCCCACTACCCTAAAAAAGAGGGAAGAAAAGAGAGGCGTCAAAAAGGGAACACAAATATAAGAGGAAAGATTCCTGGGGCGCAACGTTTCAAATTCAATGAGACTCAAACCCAAGATATTTGTGAGAATGGAGCTCTTAAATTTTTATTGATAACAAGAACAACATCTTGTGACACTGAGGGTTCCATAACAAAACATAAAATTTTTGACGAAGTTGCGCCAATTCAAAATTGTCGGTATATTAAAATCTAATGTTGATTTCGAAATACTATCTGAAACTATCATTAAGGTATCAAATCCTAAATTTTGGAAATATTTTAGATTTTGGAGTCTTGTTTTCATAAAATCTAGCGGTTCATGATTTTGACATACCTACATCAAGATACAAAAGTTTTGGTGAAGTCACGCAAGTTTGAAATCGTCAGGGTGTCCGAGTTTTATGTTGATTGGAAATATTTTCTGAAACTATTCTTAAAGTATTAAATCTTGAAATTTGGACATGTTTTATATTTTGAAGTTTGGTTTTCGATAAATCTAACGGTCCATGATTTCCATGTTCCCACAACAAGATACAAATAATTTGGTGAAGCTACACAAATCTGAAACTATCAACGTGTCGGAATCTAAAGTTATATTTAAAGTAATATCAGGGACAATTCTCAAAATATTTGATTCCAAATTTTGGTTATTTCTTGGATATTGAAGTCTATTTTTCATAAAATCAAGCAGCTCATGATTTCGACATTTTGACACCAAGATATAAATTTTTTGGTGAAGCTACGCAAATCAGAAACTATCAACGTGTTAGAATCTGTAGTTATATTCAAAATGATATCGAGGACTATTCTCAAAATATTTGATCCCACATTTTGAATATGTCTTAGATTTCAAATCCATAGAATCATACGGTTCTTAATTTCCATGTTTTTACACCAAGATATGATTTTTTTGGTAAGACTGCGCAAATCTGAAATTTTCAACATGCTGGAATCTAAAGTTGGTTTCAAAATATTACTTGCAGCGATTCTGAAGGTGTTTGATTCCGAATTTTGGATATGTCTACAATTTTAAAGTTTAGTTTCTACGAAATTAAATGGCTCATATTTGTGACGTCCTCACATTGAGATGTATATTTCTTGCCAAAAAAGGTGCAAAGGTGATGAATAATATTATCCTCAAAGAAAAAGGAGGATGTATCTCCAAATACAGAGAACTTCGAGGCATGAATGGAAATGATGTTTAAATAAAGTCGAGTTCTATTATGTGGACGTCAATACAACATGATAATCAAAGAATTATTGATATTGAACCACAAAGAAAAACGATACATGGATGAAAACACATGATATAAATGGATAGAGTTTTAATTTCTATGAATAGCCGCTAGTTAATCAAATGTAAAAAAAAGGCTAATAAAATACTCTATGCGAACTAATCAAAACACAAATTGTAATTGACCAAGTCTTTAAGGGTTACCTCTAGGTGTTGTTTCTTCATCTCCACATCGGCTAGGTCATCAACGGTTGCCAAGGGAACATCAGAACATCTACGGTACTCCTCTTCAATAGATGAGACATTAGATTCAATCTCTTCAACCTCTTTCTTGGAAATACCTGGAAGAGTCTTTAAGAGACTGACTGGTGGCAGACAATTTCTCGACCTTCTCCCATTTCTCAATCAAGACAAGATCAAGATGTTCCTTTGCGTTTAAAAATGACTCTGATTTTTCAACATCCACAACCTTGTCAGAAAGAGTTGCTCGTGCCTAGTCGTATGAAGTGGAAATCTCGAACAAAGATGTCAGTAGGTCTTTTAGAGGAGAAATATCCATACCCTTTCCGTCCATATCCTCTAGAATCAGATGGATCATAAATTGAAGAGAAGAAGCATTGTATGCAGTAAGATCTTCGAGTTTGTCCTGAATTTAAGCCCAGGCATTCAAAATGAAATCTTTGCGAAGAGTCAAGACAACCTTTCTTTCATCAAAGATAGACATCGTTGGTGCTAATTGTTGGTTAAAATTAGGCCCCGATTTTGCCCCAAGTCTAGGAATGAAAGTTGCCTCTAGGTCTGGTTTAGGTATTAGAAGTGATTTCCTAGAACCTGGCTCCGCCACGGATTCGCTACTATCTTGTGGTTTGCTTTGGTGTGACGCCATTGAAATATGAATACCATTTGGCTGCATAGAAAAGAATATGCGGTTAATGAAAATACTTGGATATTTTATGATAATATGAAAGTTTTAATCATCACCTCTTTGATAGTCGTCAAATCCCTTGAAGCACTACCGATGTTGTCAGTAATCTCGACTACTCCCAAATTAGCATCTCCTTATTTGTTTGAATATTGCTTCACCTGCTTGATGTTTTGATCTCCATGACTACTATCACTATCATTTTGGGATGGGAATTTTTTGGAGGTAGGAATAATGGTGCCTAATGGAAAGGAACCCTCATTTGCTTGATGAGCCCGAACATGTCCCTTCTTTTTTTTTGAACTTCTTTATATGGAGGTCATTTGACGTCGCATGGTACAACCACTTTGGATTTTAAAATAGGAGGCTTTACCTCCCTGTTATGCTCTTGAGGCATGATCTCTAAAGGTGTAGTAGTAGCTGGCCCAGCGGTATTCATCAAAGATTGCAAGTGATTTTCAAGAAAGTTTCCATGCACTCTTTCCCACCAAGACTTATGATGGAATGAGACATACTTCTTCATCTTGGGCATAACAGGGGGAAAGGTGGCCTTTGACCTACTTTTAGACAAAACACAAATTTGTAAAAGTTCAAATCCTTTGTCTAAATAGCACTCACAAAAATCTTGATCCAAGCAACCAGGGATGTCTTGATAAAAACTGAATTGACGACTAAAGTGATAAGGGCTATAAGGCTCCACAATGAAGGTCGATCCATTCCTCAAAGGAAGGTAATTCGATCGAATACTCATAAAATAATTTGACTCGGACTCTTCCTTGTTTCCATCATCACGATAGTAATACGGTTGAGAATTACTTGGCATTGTGGAAGTCCATATGGCATTTTCTCCTCCATGAATAAGTTTTCTCGCATCTTCATTTCCAAAGTATCTGGTTGTTCCCTCACTTGAGTATATGGCCATCAAAAGAGTAGCCGGCCTGTTTGTTAGAGAAAAATGAGTCTTGAAGTAACATGCAAACCAACCATACATATAATGAATTAGGAAGTAAACTTTAAAAGGATCGAGTAATGAGCCATATGAAATTTTATTTAATCCCCAGTAAATTCTTGCTAAGATTTGAACGGCGAGGTTAATTCTTTGCCCACACGCTAGAAGTCCTGGAATATTGAAAGTCACAGGCCGAATAAAGTCGCCTTCTTTTGTAGAGAGCACAAAGACACATAACCAGCATGATAAAAAAGAAGCCAAGTATACTTCATCTTTCTGGTCACTTCCAAACGCCAAGTTTAACAAATAGTGCATCTTCATCTTCCGACTAATTGACCATTTTACCTATGGCTCCAGTAGGGTTGTATGTTGATTTGGGACAAGCTGACTTCTTTTCTTTTCTCGCTGGAGGTTGTTCATACTTTACAACTTTTTTCTCCAAAACTCTATCCATTTTCTCACAGGGACGTAATGATTTTTAGTGTTTCCCTCTCGTCGTTGGTGATATACATCAAACAATTGCTGGCAGGCTTGTGGAAGGAATATTTTATCCTTATCGTAAGCACCTATAAGTTCTTGAGTATTTGGAATAACTTCCTCATAAGGAGACTCCATTAAAGGCAAGCCCCCAATAGCGCACAAGTCCCAAAAGGATATGGATAATTCTCCAACTGAGGTAAGCAACGTGATTCTAACAGGACACCAAGCCTAAAAAACGGCTTGCATAATACTTGTAGAATGGTCATAAGTAAACAATGAGTCATAGACAGCGTCATAAATATTGCTGGCCCTCAATGCTAGATGGTTCCTACTAAGGATATATTTAGTCCACTCCCAATAGCTGGGAATATAATGAAATTCGCCACCAAAAGTTAAAGAATCTTTCCATTATACTTCTCCTTTGAGGATTCGTCGTCCTAAGCATAAGAGGGAACTTCCCACATTCTTAACTTTGTGATTATGGGAATGAAGAGTCCATATCTTGAAATTACGTTTGGTGTTTTCCAAGGTCCAATCTACCAAAAGAAATGAATTTTGCAAGGATGGCCACGAAGCTGCATATAAGTCGGTTAGTAGTGTATCAACTAGTAATCTGGTCTTCATTTTACTATCTTTGTGCTCTGAAATTACAAGGTACTTGGACGTGGAGGAAGAGGATATTGAGTCTCTGAAGTAAACCATGTTCAAGCTGCATAAAAAAATAGATTTGTTAGTACCTAAGTTAAAAGGGAAGAGTAACAATCGCAATCTTGAAAGAGAGCATGGATAAGTAAAAATAAATAAATTTACACCTCAAACGTAAAAATATAATTAAAAAAGGGATGTCTGTATCGGACTTTTCTTAAGGTTTTCGTTGTGAACTTTTAAAGGTGTTCGTCTCGAACTTTTAAAGGCATTCGAAATTCTAAAGGTTTTTGTTGCGAACTTTCAAAGGTGTTTGTCTCGAACTTTTAAAGGCATTCAAATTTTTAAGGCTTTTCTTAGCGAACTTTTAAAGGTGTTCGTCTCGAACTTTTAAAGGCATTCAAATTTTTAAGGCTTTTCTTAGCGAACTTTTAAAGGTGTTCGTCTCGAACTATTAAAGGCATTTAGATTTGTTTTCTTTCCGAACTTTTAAAAGGCGTATGTTTCGAACATTTAAAAGTGCTCGTCTTGAACTTTTAAAGGGTCCTTACTACCGACTTTTAGAGATTTCTATCACGAACTTTTAAGGGTCTTCGCCACGAATTTTTAAAGATCCTCACCGCGAACTTTTAAAGGTCTTCACTATGAACGTTTAAAGATCTTGACCACGAGCTTTTAAGGATCTTCGCGCGAACTTTTATGGGTCTTCCCCGTAAATTTTAAAGGTATTCATCACGAACTTTTAAAAGTCTTCGTCTCAAAGTTTTAAAGTACTTTGTAGTTTGACAAAATTACTTCTAAAAAGAAAAAAGAGATAGCAGAGTAAAACAAAGAAGAAAGCACAAGAAAAGAAGAAGAAATTACCTTCACGTCAATGCTTCCAAGTCGTTAAAAGCAGACACAAAATGGCTTGCAAACACTGTGTTTTAATATTGTGAAGTGGAGAATATGGTGCTATATATAGCCACGCATAGAAGCTGTCTAGATGATTTTGTTCGATGTGGGATATGTGCTGAAATAGTCTCCTAAAAGGATTTGGTTTGAGTGACGGCAGGAGTCCAATTCTTGGGAAAATAGCAAATTAAGATTGCTTTTGTGTTATAAGTCAATAAGGATTTGGCTTGAGTCCTCTTTGGAGTAGAATAAGGCAACTAACACGTAGTATCTCTACAAAGTGCTGGCACTTAAAATGAATGTCATGTTATATGGAAACAAAGACTTTAGTTATTAGAATAATTATTAACGCAAAGAAGTTCCATGTATTCTGGCGTACGTGGAAACTAATGTCTTTTCCATAGTCATCAATTACATTAGAAGCATTTTTTAATTCAAGGAAGAAGCAAGAGATCTCGTGGATCAAACACTGCAGATTTCTCTAAGAGCTACAAGCATTCAAGTGTTTTAAGGATTAAAAGATCAAGACGAAGATTCAAAAATAAGCTGCAAGCCCTTAGATTAAAAATACATCAAGATCAAGATTAGGCCTCAAACACTTGGATTAAAATAAAATAAATTCAGGATTAATCTCAAAAGCTCTTTTATTTACTGTTGAAAAGTAGAATCAGAGGATTCATAGTGATTGTAACACTCAAATATTCGAAATAAAATACTATGATTGTTGCAATATTTTTCGGTCTTGATTTTATTTTCTCGGCGCAAATATATTGTCTACAAATTCTGACAATTTATTGCAAACAAATTGGCATGCCCAGTGCGATCAATTCTGCCCATCATTTCTTTTCTCACAATCAAATTTGCAAAATTTGATGCCAATTGCAATGATGATCTCAAGGAGGGGGAAACATCTCTTGTTCTTTCCAATTGGCTACTCATTAGCGAGACACATCTCGCGAAATTTGCAAAGCTACATGAAGGAGAATCCGAAATCAAGTAATTGCATTGTCCTCTGAGTATTACGCTGACGCCCCGACCTAGCTTGGTGGTTCTTACCAAGGAACATAACTTCTTTATGGTAAACACATGTTGGATGTCCTTTTAGGAGGCGTGTACATCTTGACTTTCCCAGGGAGTCAAATTATTTACCTTGACTCCTAAAAGGATTCAATTTCTATATGTTATATGTTCAAGTTGGTATAGACGTGTGTTGTGGATAGGAGATTTGAAAAAATCTGATTTGTCATGACATTTTTCTAAAATGAAAAATTGCTTGGACTTAGAAAGATTCTATTAGAGAGCTACGCGGATAGCTTTGGAATTTATATTCAAGTACAAATTTAATTCTTGAATACCAAAGTTGGTGGAACCTTGACTCCTTGCAAAAGTTGCTTAATCTATGTTGATGTGTTTGTCTTTCTACAAAAAAGTACACATCTGCCAAGGCCGTCACACTTCATCCTTAAATTAAAGATGTTCCGGTAAGGCCATCATACCTCATTGATGTGGTTGGTCATTCAGCAACTTGGCAAAATGGTTCAATTCAAAATACTCGTTGGAATCCAAAGGAGCAGGTGCAAGTACAATAGACTATTTCCATAGTTAATACTTCAAACCTTGTCTTTAAGGTTCAAAAAGTTTACACCTCGTCAAGGCTTGTAGTAGGGGCATTTGTAGATATCGAAATTTTGACGGATCAAGCTAAATTTTAAATTCAATAAATTACAAGACTCTTGAAATACTAGGAGTCTATTAGGGTTGCTTGGAGGCTACTCCACTCTAAACCCTAACTCACGCCTATATAAAAGGATACATATTCCCTTGAAAAGGCATCTCCAAATTCCATTGAAATTTATGGACTATTCACAAAGAGATCAAAAGACATCAAATATTGTCTTTCTTAAAGCCGCTGAAGTGATCAACGTATGTTCTTCCTTTTCATGGAGATCAAATACATCCCAAGGAAGTTCGCATCATCCTACATTCGAGAAATATTTTGGTTAAGCCCTGGAATCACGAAGACCGATCTAGAAAGAAGAATCACGAATACAAATAGAATTGTACCCGCATTATTTTATCAATAAAATTATGTTTCTTCATATTTATATTATGGTTGCAATTTATTCTTGTATCACATATAATTTATTGCAAACACAGGGGAACAAAGTCCGGCCTAAAGTGCATTTGAGCTTGCTTAACAGGAGGAGCGTCATTCTTGACTGCAAGGTGATGGACTGCTACTTTAGGGTCCAAGCCAGACATTTCTTTGTAACTCCAAGCAAAGACATCTCTAATCTCTTTGAGTAACTCAATATAAGTGCTTTCTTCATCAACTTCTAGTAAATCACTTAGGTAGGTGGGTCTTGGTTCTTCATAGTGTCAAGGTTAACTTCTTTTAAGGCATCAATCGTTGCCTTCATCCCTTCTTCAAGTTCTGGCGGAGCATCTTTTGCATCTTCATCCTCTTGAGGGTTCTCATTGTTGAAGGATATGTGATAACATGGTGAAACATCGTCCAATTTCTCGTCATCCTCCATTAGAGATAAAAGACCATGCTCGCCTTCTGAAGTAACATGATACGAAGAACCCACACATTCTTCATCTTCATTGTGTTCTTTAGTGTAGACCACAGTGTATGGCTTCACCTTCGTAGTATTTTATCACACGGAACCATAACTTTTGTTTGTCGCTTCATTCTAGAAGGAACCAAACTTTGAAAATCATTAGAGATTTTCTGAATTTTGGGTGAAGCGGGTGTTCGTTTATTTCGATAATTTCTCTAGAACTTATTCCCCTTGTTTAATAGACCCAATCTCTCAAATACAGAAGTTCTCACAGTTGATTTTTCAAGTCGATCAAAGATAGAAGGCATGTTAGAAGCGGCAGATTCGCCTTCTACAATGACATAACTGCTACTCGCCCATCTTATTGAGATGCGCACTGGTGATGGTTGCTTGTATCCCAAACTTTTAGGTGGTTGCCTTGTTGCAGCTTCTGGTAGGAGCTGCCCTAACTTTGATAGATCATTGGGATTGTATCCAACTTTTGCAAATAGCTTGTAAGTGTTAGGGTAAAAACCTTCATTTGTTCGCTTTGTAGGGAGTGCCACATTCTGCAAACAATTTTGGGCTACAAACCCTGCAAGCGGCTTCGAGGACAACTTTACTTCCTCAATTCGTTTTGCCGAAAGAGTTAACTCCTTTAGCGTGTTAATTTGTAGATTAGATGATTCGCCCCCGTCTTTCTTCCTTTTAGGGATATATTGGAGCGCGACACTTACTTTCTATCCATAAGACTCAATATCCCCTCTATGAGATTTGTTCGCGTTGGCGTGTACCTCAAGTATCAGCAACAATCTTCTTCTCGACTTTACCCTCGTAGTATTTTAAATATTGATGGTAGGTAGATGGAACTACTTCATTCTCATGTATCCAAGGACTTCCAAGAAAGACAATGTATGAAGCCTTTGCGTCGATTACATATAACCATGCACTTGATTGCATATCTTTAATGGTGATTTCCAACCTGATAGCGCCTATGGCTCTTTACCCCTCATGGTTGAATCCTTGGATCATTACACGACTTTCTGAGAGTTCGTTCATAGGAATACCAAGTTCATTCACAGTGTGAATTGGCAAAATGTTCATTGAGGATCCTCTGTCAACAAAAATTTGATTTACCCTTTCATCACGCATACAGCCAACCAAGTACAATAGACGGTTATGAAGAGTGCCACCTAGTAGAAGATCATCATTTGTGAATGTGATTTTTTCCTCACAATCATTAACTTCTTGAGGAGTGGACTCCATGAGCTTTTATGAAGATGGTGCGAATGGTAGGTCATTACTATTTTCTTCCCATTTGTCAGCATGGCAACAAGAGGCATCGATACCCTCATGGGAAATCTTCGTGCGGAACCAACTTGGTAAAAACTCCTCCAAGGTCACTGGATTTCATGGCTTTTGAGAGTGGTGCACCTCCACTTTTGCTCTCTTTAAGTGTTTAACTGGATTCCATCTCCTTGGTCTTTTTACCATTATTTTCCTTGTTGGTTGTTCTACCTATTCTTTTCGTGGGCTCCTTCTATGGTGCTTATGACGAGTCACCAATGTCCAACCTTTATCATCATCAGGTTGATTGACTTTAGCTTTGTCGTTCTCCAATAATTCATCACCTTTACTTTTCATAAAACCACATAATTCATCCGGACTAAATGAGCCAAAGGTGGTAGAGACTTGGTTTGCGCTTGTTTTCTCATCTTCAAGCACGATCTTCTTTTCGCAAGCCAAGTCCATGACTTTGTCCTTGAAGACAAGGCACTTCTCCAGAGGGTGGCTCACAAGTCGATGGTATTTGTAGTAATTTGGGTCATTTGTTTTCCTAGCTTCATTTGGTCGCTTCATCTCAGGAAGCTCAATGAGATTTAACTCGAGGAGTTCTTCAAAAATAGCTATCACATCAGAATCTAGAAATGTGTACTATTTCTCTTGCATTTCTTTTAGAGTCAACTTTCCACTTGGCTTATATTGAAAAGAAGTGGATTTCATACTCTGCTTCTTGCTCATCTTCGTTGTGAACTTCACAAGTGATGTGTTGACATTCATAGCTTCTTTGTTTTCAGATTTGGGTACAAACTTGCTCCATTTCCTGACTTCTTGCTTGTCGTTCCCTTTTCGCGGCTCATAGATAGTCAACCTTTCATTTCTACCAGAGGCCATGCTCAACTCCATTTTATGGGCACGAGTCGCAAGTTCTTCAAATGTGCCATGCTTGATACCTTGCAAGATGTAACGTAGTCCCCAATGCATGCCTTGGATGCACATCTCTATGTCCAAAGCTTCACTAAGCCTATCTTTGCAGTTGAGGCTTGAATTCCTCCAACGATTGATAAAGTCGATAACTGGTTCACCCTTTCGTTGACGAGTATTTGTAAGTTCTATCATACTAACAGTACGTCTCCTGCTATAAAAGATATTAAGGAATTCTTGCTCTAGTTAGTCCCAGCTATCAACAGATCCAGCCTCGA